GAAGAGGGACCCGCCTCTGCTGCTCGTGCCCAAATATCCCAAAGAGCCAGACTGTGAGAGCTCTCCTGTCCAAACCCAAACACGTGTCTGCTCTGTGCACCTGACCAGCGGCTTTAGAAGATGAACCCAGAAAGCAGCCAAGGTCGGGAGTGATTAGTTCTGACAGGCGTGGTCACGCAGGGGCACCACGGTGGGGGGATGGGGGGGCCCTCCCAACCTCCAGGAGCGGGAGGGGCGAGGGAAGCCCGGCGTGGAGCCCAAGCCCTTCAGCCTCACTCCTCCCCAGGTCCGTACTTGAGCTGCCGGGGCTCACAGTCCAGGCCGGGCAGCAGCAGCCGGGCGGCCTGCCGGATGTCGCCGCTGTCCACGGTGAGGCTGCGGCGATGCTCCGCGTAGGTGATGGCCACGCGCATCCACTCCATCAGTGGCGGCAGCAGCATGAAGGGCCTGTGAGGCAGCAGAGAGAGAGGGTCAGGCCGGTGGGGGGCCCCCTCCCACGCACGCTCAGCGAACGGCTGTAGAGGCCGGTCACCCGTAACCTTCAGGCTGAGAGGTGTGGAGGGGGCTGGCTCCCTCTCCTCGCTGAGACCCCAGTGTGCCCCATTCCACAGACACTGTCCTGGGTCGGGAGAAATTCCCATCATAGGCCACGTGTGGAACTGAGGGCCTGAGGTGACCAATGAAACAAGGCGTTTGCTGGTGCGTCAAGTTGGGAGCTCCCATCCCCCCTCCCCAAAGAATTCAGATGGGGTCTCCGGGTCTCGGTCTGCAGAAGGGAGAGACTGCCTCCCGGGTGGTGGGTGCGTGCAGGGGACAGAGTCCAACAGACCCGGGCGGGCCCCCAACCCAGCTTTGCCGTTAGCAGCTGTGTTCCATCACCACAAACACAGCCCGGGCCTGCTCCCTGCATCTGTGAGATGGGGTAACACCTGCTTCTCAGGGCTGTCGTGAAGCTATGTCAGATGATGTGGATCACACTACACGTGCATAGTTGATGTCATTCCTTCCTCAACCTGCACCTGGGCTGAGGTGGGCCCCACGTCACTTCCTATGACAGGCCAGAGCTGCCTCCGCTCCAAGTCCTACGGGGAGGAAGAGTCTCGGGGCCCAACACGAAGAACCCACGGCCACAGCGACGTGGGGAGCTAGGTGGAAGCAGGGAGAGACTTCTGCTCCTGAGGCCTCTGAGTTGCAAACTCCAGGGGGCACCATTCCCAAGGTATTCCCTGTGTCACCAGGGGGCGCCATGCACAAGGCATGTGACTGGTGCCCCGGGGCATTGGGCAGTACAGCTGCACCTCCACGCAGGGTCCTGCCCTCTCCCTGCCCCAGGCCCTCCCACCCCCATCGTGCTGGATCTACATTTCATCCGAGAGCGGCTTTCCTCCTGTCCTACCCTCCTGTCCTCCGTGAGTTCTGGCAAGTCTCCCACGGCGAAGACCTCCTGGGGAGACCACTTCACAGTCCAGTGGGTCTCACTGCCACGGGCGGCCCTGACAGCCAGTTTTCAGCTTTATGACTCGATGGACAACCAGCCTGCTCTGCCCACAACATTCCCTGCCTGGTCACAAGGGTGAGGCAGCCCTGGCGCGCTGCCCCTTGTGGCTGTTCTCTCTAATGACAGCCTGAGTCCACCTCTTGTTCCTGTGTGTGCTCCCCGCCCTCCTGATGCCTCCGCACCCCACGCCCTCCGACGTCCTGGGCTCCTGGAGCATTAGGCCTCTGCTGTCACCACCATCTTACTCCTAGACATGCAGAGAGGTACTGTGACCGGGAAAAAGACTTCCATTCTCCTTTTTCAGTCACTAAGTCAGTCGACTGCAGGGAATCAACGTTGAGACCCTCAGATCTCTGGTCTCAGGTTTCCGAATGCTTAGGATATTGTCAAAATTTTAAGAGCTTCTCTCATTGAGGACAAACGATGCTTTTATTTATTTTTTAAACAAAATTAAACCAGATGTAACCCTGCAGGTGGTTACCTGGGAAGCTATTTTGACATTCTGGGCTCTGTCATTTCAGAAAATGTACCAGGGTCCAAGTGTAGTAACTGCAGTGCTGAGGACGAGTTACAGGCTGAGGAAGCCTGGCTGGCCCTGGCTTCAAGGGTGCCCTCACCCCAACCCATTTCCAGTCCTGGCTCACAACATTCACCAGGACACAGCAGACCAGCAGGCACCTGCCTTCCTACCTCCTCAAGAGAATGAATCTGCTCTCGCCTCGGCCCGTCTAAATCCTGTTTACCCTTCAAGGCTCAGTTCCAGTACCACCTCTTTCCAGAAGCCCTCCCACTCCAAGATCCAAGATCCCTTAGAACTTGCTCTTCCATCATTGGATGTGTCTCATCTTCCTGAGTAGACTATTCCGCCTCGGGACAAAAACGATGGCTTGCTCACGTCTGTGTACTCCCAAATATCCCCAGCATGGGACCTGAACATAATAGGTCCTCAATAAACGCTGGCTGAATGACTAAAAGTATGGCCGAGCTTCAGGAACTTACTACGATGCGTCTTAAGTTTTTAATTCTGGACCAACTCCTATTTCTGCCCAGAAAAGAATGGCATGTAATTTTCAAGGGCACAGTGTTGACTTGCTAGAGTGGGAAAGCCGAGGCTCTATGGAAGAAGCCTGTAGAATGTAGGAAGAAACAACAAGCCATTTGTGCACTACTCCTCTGTTTATAACAATTTTCTTGATTATATATGCCCATTTGAATTCTCTGTAAATATTCTTGGATTTTCCAATTCTTGCATTGCAATGCTAGAAGGCAAACTCAGAGACATGTTTCTATATATAACAGTCCTTTGGATCCAAGGGGAAGGCTTTATCTAAACCACCAGCATTGGGACTGAAGTATAAATGAAAAGATAGTTCATGGATTTGCCAGCCATTCTTCCTTGTTGTGGCCAACAGCCAAGACCAAGTGCCAAGTACGGTCACTGAAGCTCCAAGTGGCATCTCCCAGCTGCACTAGGGGAAATCCAAGAGGGAACTTGGGGAATCACCAAGTCTAATCAGATGGTGTTATGATTCATATGCTCTGTGCCTCTTAGAACTCAGCACATGAAAAAAACAGTATCAATAACTTTGGTGGGCAGGTATTGGGGATTGGCTCATTCAGCCTCCATTTTGCTGTCTTTGTTGGAGACATAAAAAGCTGAAAACTACACTTCCCAGACTCCTTTGCAGCTGGGGTTCTGGATGCAAATTAGGTTTTGCCATTAATATGTAGTTCCATGAGATCTGGTAAATGGATGTGAGACAGAGGCCATACTTGTGCCCCCTTTGCCTGTTTCTGGTAGCAAGCCAGGTCATGAAGCATGAGGTCTATTTTTTCTTTTCTCATACAACATTCCAGTGTCCATTTTCCACCTTCCTGAGTGCTTCAAAGGCAGTGGTAGTGTTACTGAAAGTGACGACAAAGATTTCTTGATTGCAGCTTCAGTCCTGAGTTGCATTTCCAGGGAACGTCTCAGAGGGAGCAGTCCCCTTGGTTGGATGCGTTCGGTTTTGTCCTCGAGCCCGATCCTTGAGCCCTTCTAATGATTCTGTTGGCATCTAATTCCTTGCATTAAATCCCTTTCTGCTTAAAATACCTAGAGTGGTTTCTGGTTCCTGAATTGAACACTGGCTGATATTCTCAACATACAGAAATCCTCCAGGGTTAAGAGTGTCCCTCTGCCTCTGGGGTAGTGGCTGGCATCCACCTGTCCACAAACAAGGCGGTACCAGCCCCCAAACTGACCTCTTCAGGCTCTTTTCCTTGGCCTACCCCTTGACCCTGTGGTCCAAGAGAAGATAAAATGACAAGCAATTCATGGACTTACTCAGTAACATCCTTCCCTTAACCTGTGGGTTCCAGGCTCCTATTTCCTTTCTGGTAATTTCATCTCGCCCACTGAACATGCTGAGAAGCTGGCCTGTATTTCTGGACATTCTGGAAAATCCCTATAAAAACTCCCATCTGTACTGGCGGCGGCTACATCCTAACTGCAGGGTGAAAGGGCTCCAGAGGAGCAAGGCTAGGAATGACTGACATCTGCATTGTCCTCAGGGTCTCCAGCTTTTCTCCCTCCCAAAGAAAAAGGCTGTTTCCCCCCTCTTGCCGTTCTTCTACACTGAGCTTGGCCACAAGCCTTTCGTGGCTAGGGCGGGCATCTGCTGTGCCCGAGGCAGGGAGAGGGGGCAGGGCTGAAGGAACCCCCTTTGTGCTGCCACTCTGTGGCCAGGTTTCCCCCTCGCTGGGTCCAGTACCTCTCAATAGTCGTTCTGGAGTGTTCTGGTCACAGGACGCCCTTTGTACTCTTACAGATTATTGAGGCCTCCAAAGAGCTTTTGTTTATGTGCGTTATCCTACCACTATTTACTGTATCAGAAATCAAAACAGAAAATGTTGAAACATCTGAACATGCAAGTTCACATCCCCCATCAGCCACCCGTGATACTGTTATCACACGTCACACAGCCTCTAGAAAGCTCCCCTGGACATTTGTGGGGAAATGAGAGTGAAAAGGCAAATAACCCCTTCTTATTAGGAAAATAATTTTGACTCTGTAGACTCCTGAAAAGTCTCAGGACCCCAGGGGTTCCCAGACCACACTTCGAGCCTCACTACCTTAAGACAAGTCTGTTCTTGGGCTGAGCACGACGCTGGGATTCTGCCTCTGGCGGCACACGGTCTGGCCATTTCCACAATCGTGTATGCTTTGAATGCACCTGCCTGGCCCAGCGAACTGAGGCTCCTACCCCCTGCCCCGCAGTGTCCTCGCTGGGAGAAAGCCTCCCTGTCCTGGAAGCAGGTGCGTTGACTCTAGAACCCGGGGCAGATCAGTACACTCTTTGGGCCTGTGTTCCTATTAAAGAAGGGATGTCAGTAGCTTCTAGATGTTTTCTCCATTGTGAGAATCTCTTTTGCGGTCTCCTAGACTCCACATGACAATAGCTGTATGTATCTGCAGTGATCAAGACCGTGGGTTCCAGAGAGGACCTCCTGGGTTGGGATCCGGTGTCCCTCCCAATGAATTCAGTCATGATCCTGCCCAAGTTACCCCACCCTCAGCCTCAGCTGTGCCATCAGCAAAATGGGTATAGACAATAGGACCGCCTCACAAGAAGCATGTATGCGAAGTGCTTAGCACAGCATTTGGCACACGTGCTTAGCACACATTTGGCACAAGTTCTCAGTAGAGGTTAACTATTAGTACTACGTTAGTATCTGCTGATAGAGAAAACACATACTAGCAAAAAAGCCAATAGGAATCTGGTCCTACTAAATGCCTCAGCCGTGGCCTTCTTCAAGTCCAGCCAACTCTCCCCTCCCCCGGCCCTCCAGCAAGTATAAACACGCAAAGCTTGCAAAAGCCTGCCAGCAAACTGCCCATCACCCACTCCATCCCAGCTCATAAAACAGACAAAACAAATGCAACCAGCATGTTGAGTGGGATCCGGAA